CTCACAAATGAGTCTGCAAATCCAGACAGGACGACTCCAAATGGGGCTTTTGCATGGAAAACATAGCCTCACTGCTGCTTCAGTCCTAAGGCTTGACCAGGCCCAAACCCCTTCTCACCGAAACCAGACAGAGGGACATTTAGCCATTGACTCTGAGATCCAGGTTCCACACTGTGCTCCACCTATTTCATACAGGGTGAAATGAAACGGGTCCCCACCTATTTCATTAAAAGAGGCAGCAAATATATATTTTTTTCTTTGTGCAATTATATATTTATATTTATATTTACAAAGCACAGATCTGGCACAAAGCAAATATATATTTTAAAATATAAATATATATATATTTACAAAGCACGGATCTGGTGCTGAGGCATCCACAAGGAAAGTCTAAAAATGAAATGCTCTTGAGAGGAACTTTGTATGTGGGGAGGTATATCCATCCACCTGCTAAGGAGAAATGTGGGATAAATTCATGCTAACTTAATGAATTTTGACTGGAGCAATGAAATGCAGGAGATTCATAGTGGAAATCAGTGGGGAAAGGTAGCAAAGTTGATCGTCTGATATTACATTTTTACTTGCATCTGAATTTCTTTGCAAAGTGTTCAAGTCTCATCAGGGAACAGTGACATTTGAAAGAAAGCCCACGATGACTTGATCACTGTGTAGTTATTTCTGTCAGCCGAACTCCCCTCCCTCCCCACAATCTTTTATAAATGCCACATGCAAAGAAGAAAATGATCTCTAATGGACAATAGGGGCAGGGAGGGAAAGGAACCAGGAAAGGTTGCGGGATACAGATCTAGCAGAGAGAGAAGAATTTATTTTCCTTAAAGCCCAGAGTATTTGCAAAATATGACTTTTTGTCACATATAAACAAAACCTCTCTTTTTGGGGATAGATCAGTCTATTCCCATCTCAGGGTTTGTCATCTGCCCTATTGTCTACATAACTTCTAGTCCTAATGAGGAAACTAACTTTTTCTTTTTCTTTTCAAACTTGCAAAACCATTCTCTGGGACCATCTGTTGTGTTGCACTAGAAGTTTCTCTTTGCAAACTCCATTTGGAAATGGCTGTCTATGAAGCATCCTGCATTTTCTTCTTCATGGCAGTGAATGGTGTTAAGACAAGTGATTTTAGGGTGAAGGGAAGGAAATTAATTTCCTGGTCACTTCCATTGCTGTCCTTAGGCAAAATATTATGCAACTAATATGTGTGTGTGTGTGTGTATGATAAAACATTGTGTATAAATCTAATAATGATATATTATCTTTACTGAATAGTTTTAGATAGATAATGTGCATGTGTATTTACACACATACTTTTTTGGATAGATAGATACACATACATACACACATGCACACATGTGTATGTGTAAATGATACTGATATTTGCATATATAGATGTGTATGTATGTATCTTTACACTATATATATAGCTATATCTATATATACACACACACACATATGGCTGATATGTAAGTGATACACATCAGTTACACACATATGTATATGCAACTGATATTAATATATGTGTATATATGTGTGTGTATATATATATATCATACGCACATATGTGTGTATGAAAATATATGCAGTATTAATCTAATATGTGTGTGTATCTATAGATATATGTCTGTATATATATAGGTGTATATGGGAGTGGGAGGTGTGGGGTGTGTGCATGTATCCTTATATTTAAACATTTCTTTACAGAAACATCCGTCCAGGCATTTTCTAGCTAGCCCTACTGCAGGCTAGCAGGCATTGCGACGCCTTTACTTCGGTGTCACACCCGCTGCTCGGGGAAGGGAGGGACCCTGACACGATGCCCAGGCAGAGACTTAACCCGTGTGAGCCGACGGCATCTCTGCAGCCGAAAGCAGCTGGCTGGAGCCTTCTCGCCTCGCCCCAAACACCGCTGCTCACAGGAAAATCCCCTCCGCTTCTGGCTGCTCTGCCATCCCGCCGGCGGGGGGGCCCCGCGGGGGGTTCCCCCCCC